TTAACTTTATTTATTTTTTAAAATATTAGTAAAAAAATAGATAATAAAACATACAAGTGTATATGTAAAAGTAGAATTTACCAACTTAATTTTGAGGATGTATGTTTTTAATTAAACCTAAAAAATTATCCTTCTAAAATCTTAAATTACCTACACTTGTCCTTAGGTTTTAAATATATTAATTTTCACGTAATATTCAATTAATTAGTAGTTAATGTTAATGCCTTGGTCCGAAAGACACATCACATCACTTTAACAAAATTAAATTGATGCAAACATTAATATAAGTTTTTTTTTTTTTTGTTTAAAATAAAAAATAAAATATTAAAAGTAATAAAAAGTACTCAATACTTCAAACTTTGAAATTTCAATAATACTATTTATTTTTAAAAATTACAAACAATACACTTGAACGTAAAAAAAAAAAAAAAAATATCTGAGAGGGCTTGGGTTGTGGGTCGTGTCATAAAGCACAACATAGAACATGATGGACACGCGTCACGTGACGGTGCCTTCACCTCACCGCTACCACGTGATCTCTCACACCCAACCTGTCAGTTTTTTCTCTCCTTTTCCTTTTTTTTTGTAGAATTTAATAAATGCAGAAATAAGGGCCCACAGATTAATCCCCCGCCGGAAGATCCGGCCTGGTAGTTTGGTAAGGCGGTTTGTTGGAAATTGGCGAGGGTGCCGTGTGGAGGGCAGTGAGGCCGGAGTAGGACCACGTGGCGAGAAGCGTATGATGTGGCACCGTGCATGTAGCAGCGCCTACTTATTCCTCCTCCACCTCCATCTCAGACCGCTTTGGGATCCGCTAAACTGCATTTCGCCACAGTACTTCTCCCCTTGCTCCGCCATTCCGCCCCCCACAGTAATCATTGCTCCTTTTCTATTTCCACAATTTTTTGGTCATTTTTATAAATTAAAACTTTTTTTTATTTATTATGTGTACTTTTAATTTTGTGCATTAAAAGACATGATTCGCTAATTGTATTTTAATGAATAAAAGAAATTAAAAAAATATTAAAAGATGGCTAAATTGTCTGCATGATGTGTACCTTTGATACAACCTTTCCTACTATCTACCTTTATTTATTACCTAATAATATCAACGAAAATATACAAATCCAGTTGATGACAAGAAGAATAAATATGAGCCGTTGGATTGCCGTTCACGGATGGGGAAGTGTGGCACGGCAATCCAACGGGAGATAACGATCGTTACCATTATTAGTTTTTTATAAGGCGGCGTAATTGGTTCCCGTCAACGGCATCCGTTTGCGTCCACTATAAATAAAATAATATTTTCTGCAAAAAAAATCGTATTTATATTTTCTATCCATTTTAAATAAATAATTAATAATTTTTTCAAAATCTGACCATAATTAATTACTTACTTTAAATCTTCTTGAATACTTTTCAGATTATTTTGTAATTCTAAAATATGGTGCATGCCTGACGCGAAAGCACCTTATTTATTTCCGTCCTTTTCATCCTTTCTTTTATTTATTATTCTGTTTACCGCCCCTATTTTCGTTTTAAGGTGACACTTGTACGTAAACCAATTTTATTTAATATTTCACACGTCATTAAATAATTATTTAAATTTCAAATAAAAAATTGAGGAGATTGAAGCCGAAATAAAGAATGGTGTAAAGGAATTGCGAAGGACGGGTAGAGCATGGAAGGGGCGATGCGGAGTCCGGTTCAACGCCGAGCCCAACGATGCAATTATTTTGTTTAAAAGAGAAAAAGAAAAAAAAGAAAAAAAAGGCGAAATTCAATGCCAAGTCTGTGGGCCCCGGAACGGACTTCAAAGCTTTGATTCAAATTTAGTTAAATGAGAAAGCAAAACCAAATATAAATAAATAAATAAATAAATAAAAAGAAGAAAATAGAAAAAGAGGAGGAGAATCATTAAAAACAAAGACAGTGGATAAAATTGGAAAAAGAAGAAAAAAAGGGGAGGAAAAGTGGAACAAGAGGACTGAGAATGGGGTTTCTAAACCCTCTCTTTATCCGCCACGTGTCCTTGTCTCTTTCTTCCCCATCAAACCCTACCTTTCAAATTCCAATGCCCCCATTTCCCCTCTTTTTAATCCTCCCTCCCTTCCCTCCCCCTTCACGCACCACTCCCTTCTCTCTCTCTCTCTCTCTCTCCTTCCATGGAAGATTTCACCGATAACAAAAAGCGACTTCTCAGCGAGTTCGATGACTCACTAGCCGATTCGGCTGAGTCCAAGCTCAGACGACTCGACTCACCGGATTTCACTTCTCTCAACCCATGCTCCAAGGGGAACTGGAATGTTGTTCAAGATTTAGAATCCGTCGCTGATTTCACTATTAATCTCTCGGAATCTCACGACATTCAAGATGACTTACTCAACATCCTTGAAGATTCCGACGTCGTACTAGAGCGTGATGAAAGTATTGAAGGCCTTGAACTTGACTCTTTCATTAGAAGCTTCGAGGAGGAGATTCAAGCACTACCTTTGGTCAAAACGCCGTGTCATCAGAATGAGACTCCTCAGGTGGAGCTTGGTTACCTTTACGGTGCGTCGGATGATGAGCTTGGTCTGCCGCCGACGGGAGGTTTGAGTACTGATGGGAAGAGGATGGAGGCCATTGATTTTATGCCTGCCTCTTCTTCTCCTCCTGGTGTGTTTGAGTTGGATGGGAACGCAGGGTTTCAAGATGAGATTCCGTGTTACGACTTGTTCGAGATTGGAATGGGGTTCTCCTCCGGCGCGGCGGAGGAGAATGGGTCGGGCGGGGAGTTCGTTGCATTGGGCGGTTTGTTTGATTATTCGGACGTGCCGTTTCGGCCGGAGTCATTGTCGGCTTTGTAAAGACGGTTTCGAGTGGGGGTCGTGGTTTTGGGGGTCTTTTTAGTGGTGGTCGGACCGACGTCGTTTCAAGTTTTTAGGTTGTAAATTTGAAAGAACTAAAACACTAATTTTACAATAGAAATGCCAAATTTCAAAAAACATAAAAAGTATTTTTATTTTTTATTTTTTTAATATAGCGTTTTTTTATTTTTACCGCGGTAAAATAGGAATCCTGTTAACCTGTCGGTACTATTATTCTCTCTCTCTCTTGTTTTTTTATCTTTATCGATTGGTAAGGGTAGTTTGGGAAATCAACAGAATTTTAATATTTAACTAAATCAAAATATCTTAAACAAAATTAATTTTTATGTTAATTTAAAATTCCTAAATTCTCAAATCTCACATTTGTAGTTTAATTAGTCGGAACAGATTATAAAAGTTTTTACCTATAAATCTATATAATGAATTTAATAATATTATACATATGTGTTTAAATAAAATATGATTATAGTAGTGACGTCAATATTGAGGCCAGCAAAACTTCATTCTAAAATATTAAACCGTATTTTATCATTATTTTCTTGATTTTTTTTTCATTCTAAAATTCCAACTAGAATAGCACACTTTTTTTTAACTAATTGTAGTTAAAATTTTATTTACAGCACACTTTTAACTAACTGTAGTTAAAATTTAACTACGGCCTCAGTTTAGGTATATGTATTTATATATATGAGGTAGAATTCAAATACATTTGTAAAAAAGATTGAGCAATCTTCGATAGAAAAAAAATGGGGTCTCTAAGCATGTTCTGTTTGGTTGTGTTGGTTGCTTTGACATCGAATAATATGATGAAGTTTTGTTTTGCAGAATCTAAGCTACAATTACCGTTCGTCAAATGGGAAGTGAATATTTTAAATGAGATGACTGCTTCAACTCTAAATGTTCATTGCAAGTCAAAAGATGACGATCTAGGCGAACATGTACTCCACGTTAAAGATAATTACAACTGGAGCTTTAAAGAAAATTTTTGGATTACAACGTTGTTTTGGTGTCATTTTAGCAGCAAATATGGACAAGTTAGTGGTGATGTTTTTTGGACAGCCAAATGGGATTGGTTTAATGAACAATGTGCTCATCATAATTGCATTTGGACATGTCGAGACGAAGGTATTTACATGTATTTTGAATCTCTCAAAGCCTTCCAGTTAATGTATAATTGGAATAATGCGTTCGAGTTAATGTAATAAATAATTTTATGAATAAAAATTATCGTCATCTTTCCCGAGGTTAAATATTCAATTCTATACAAATTTGATTTTCAAAATTTTAAAATTTCAATAATGTCCTCAAAGTAATTAGTTAGGATAGGCACTATCATGGATGCATGGATCTGGTAATGCAATGTAAGTCACACAGCCAATAACTCCAACATGGCGCCAATAAACATGTACAAATCTACGCCAAGCTTACGAGAGTTATTTTTGGTTGGGGACCACATCATTCGTAAGTATAGTACAAAAAATTCTTGGTTTGAAAAACGTGTGATTACAACACAATTTCGTTCAAATTAATAATGCATTAGTAATAGTCTCACCAGACATTATGCATACATACATTTAAATAAACAAGGTAACAAAGCCATTTGGGAATGTCTGTTCTTATTGTTTCATTCATAGTCCTTTACAATTTTGAAATTTCAATCAATAAATAGAGCAATATCAAAATAACCTTCCCAGATCCTGCATAAAATAAAGTAACAAACATAATATTTCATGGTAGGATGGACCAATTCGTGAATAAGCTGGTGTGATAATGAATGTAAGGTCAAACATTCCTCTCTTTCATCTTTATTGAAATAAAAAGCATAGGTTACAAAAATAAATTCTTAATATTTTAGCTAATTTTGTTGCACGTAAATAATGAATGGTGGACATTTATTTAAACTTAACATGGGTAATTAATAATCATAAATAGTTGAACGTAGAAATGAAAGTAACCAATAAAATACAAAATCCGTTACTAAAAGAGAGAGCAGCTAAGGAGTGGTCTAAATAGGTGAGAAAATTAAGGAGAAACATGCCATTATAGCAACTCAATTTGGGTATATATAAAACAAAACAAACAAGGGTTTTGTCAAAAAGGGAAAAAGAAAGTGACCAAACTCCATAGAAAATGGAGTCTGTAAACCCATTATGTTTCATTTTATTGCTGGGTTTGGGATCAAACATGCTTATGAAGCCATGCTTTGCACAACCTACAGAATCCAAGGTACAGCTTCCATTTTCTCGATGGCAAGTGACCATTTATAATCATATGATCGATTCAACTTTGATGGTTCACTGCAAATCAAAGGACAACGATTTGGGCAGGCATGAGATCAAGCAAGGGGATAACTACTTCTTGAAGTTCAAAGAAAATATTTGGCAAACCACACAGTTTTGGTGCCATTTTAGCAGCAAATATGGACAGGTTACTGGTGATGTTTTCTGGCCGGAAGAAGGAAGCCGGCTTAGCGATGAATGTAATGATCATAACTGTGTTTGGTCTGCTCAAGACGGTGGGATTTTCTTATTGCGTGGTTCTATCAATTCCTATCAGTTAGCCTACCCTTGGAAGAAATGATGTAAATCCCACTTTTATTTCCAGTCATTTCAACCCAAAATAATAATGAAATTATAATGAAATTTGTAATTCTTTCCATAATTTCTTCCTCTCTCGAATTTGTGTCTAATCTTCGCACATTGAAAATGATTCTTAAAGTCGCATCATCTTCAAGTTTAGTGCAAGGAAGAATAAAATACATTCAGAATCTTAACAACAGGGTTTGATGCTAAGGAAAACAAGACTTTGACATTTGTTTGAGCTTTCTACTTTGTCTACGTTTGTTAAATTTGGCTTTGTCAAGGTTTGAATTTGTGTTAGTTCAGTTATCGCTTGATGAAGGATCAAACAATTGATCTTTAGAAAGATAATTGGTGCCTTGAGACATTCGCTATGCTCGGATGGACAAAGGTTTATAAGATTATGCTGCCTTAACTTGGGATAAGTTAGAACACTTACCAAAGGAAGTTCGATTACACAACTCTAAAGATTTGGAATATTCCTTCATATAAAGCAAAAGACGGATGTTTTCTAAATGGTTGCTGCCATGGCTTGCTACCTTTAATGTATTTTTGAAGGAGAAGCATAGACTTATGGTGTGGAAAAGAATAATGGCTTTCTGGCTAAAGGAAGGATACCTTCTTTTTCTCCATAGAAAAAACATGAAGGGAGAAGCAAAGCTAAAAAAGCCAAGAATAACGAACAACCAACGCACCACAATGCGGAATCAGGTTCCAAATATTAATACCAATAATATTGTTGTTATTATTCAATGTTTTGATATTCTCTCGCCAATCAATACCATCGTTAAACCCAGATTTTGAAGTCCATCCCTTTCAAGTTTTGGGAGAAACCCATCAGTTTTTCTCTCTGCCTCTGTGTTTAAGCATCATAGGGGTTTAGATTCCTGGAGAAAGGTTCTGTTTTTTTTTTTTTGTCAGTGATTTAATGACTGGAAAGGCAAGTTCAATCTTACCCAACTTTTTCCATTCTTCTTCTTCATTGGCAATATTGAACTGTTTTCCCTTGACAACTATGGCAGTTTTTCTGGATGGTTTTGAGGATTCACATGGACTGTAATGGATGTTACAGGAAAGTAAGAAGAGCTCTTCTCAGTATAAAAGGTGAAATCTCTCTCTTTTTATCTCTTTTTCTCTAGAGAAATTAATATGGCTGACTATTTTCTCTCTGTCTCTCTTCAATGGATTCTATTCGGTAACTTATGACATGTAAATCCTTGTCTTCTTGATAGAGTTGGAGGACCATTTGATAGAACAAAAGCAGTGCAGGGTAAGCGTTTGTGGAAAGTTTAGCCCTCAAGATATAGCAATCAAAATAAGGAAGAAGACCAACCGCAGAGTAGAGATATTGGAGATTCAAGAGTGTGATACCTTCACTGAAAACAATGATATCCAAGGACCCTTCATCATCAATGCCTGGAAATGCCAATCCAACTATGACCAAGCTGAAATTTGTTGTAAGCATGAAGGTAACAAAGAAGAAAAGGAAGAATTAGCTTCGTCTATAACATAAACTGTTCTTCATCTTTCATATTATTTTGCCATTTTTATGTGTCACACATGCAAATTACTTCATAAAACCATATGCATTTAGTTGTTTACCAGTCGAATAACATATAGTTGATCATGTAAGAATTAAGCAGTCCAGTGCTTATAGACGTTATTTGGAAAACTTACTATTTTATTCACAAATGAGCAATTCGTATTCATAGACAGAACAATCTAGGCATGCCATGTAACAATGACTACGTAGTTTATCTGTAGACTGACAGTGTATCAAAAGAGCGGGAGGCGTTTCATTCTTCTCGGATTGTGACAGTCGGATGAAGTCCATCCAATCCTGTTATTCACGTTGTCGTAAACGACCAACTTCCCACGCAATGCGTTGTCTGAAAGATAAAACCACGAAGTATAAATTTGAGTTCAGGAAAGTTTAAAATGATGCTTGAGTTGATTTTCTCAGTTATGTCAAACAGACTCTTGCAATGTTGAAAACTCTCATGAGGTAGCATAGATAAAGTCATACAAATTCTTGAACTTTCTAAACTGTTTTTACCTCCAAGAATGGTTGTGGACCCATCATCATGTACCTGGCTTCCATCAAGAATTCCCAAGCATACATTTCCTTCTTTCTGCAGAACACGGAGTCGTTACTCCACAATATTTATAAACATGCATATAACAGCAGGAGAAATATGTCTACTATTTTTTTTTTATAGGAAATAAATAGACTTACATTGATGACTAAATAATTCTCTGGAGGAATCTCAAGTTTCGTGGACACAATCCAAAATCTGCTCTCGAACTGAAGCGTTAAAGGCTTGAAGAACTTCTTGACATCTTTAACAGATCTGCAGGCGTTCACACAAAATTTGGGTTCCAGCAATAGTGGAGAGCTAAGGAAATGTGTTACTCCCAAGAATTTGTCTTTTTTTTTTTAAGCTAGAAACTTGTCGCCAGTTTTTCCTTTATTTCTCCTCCTATCTAATTGTTCATCAAGGTGTTTTAGAAACAGAAGAAAATAAGCAAAGTTTTCAAGTACAAGGAATCCATATTGATGAAGTAATTGATCAGTCATACGAAAAGATGTAAGAGAAAATTTTAAGAAGTAAATGCTATCCATGTCAATTACGCAATCTTACTCTATCGAAGAATGACGTCATATCTGTCTTATACCTGATAGAAGATTCAGTTCTCCAACAAATGATATCTGATGAATCTTGAACAATAAGCCCAAACGCTGAGAGTTCTTCAAGCTGCAGAGGAATGGAGGTTCTTAATCATCAGATACATTTTTTTTCACAGAAACGAGAAGGAAGTTCACTCTGGCCCACTATGCCTTGAAACTTACAGATGCAACCAATTGAGAATATGCTTCTTTTGTGAAGTAGGTGTAGGAGCTGCCACTATCGAAAACTACTCGTCCACGGTTGCTACCCCAAGTATCAAAACTCAGTGGGCTGCTTCCATAATCTATCCTCACAACCTTTGTTTGATAAAAATCCCTGACATTATAAAATTGAAGTGGTTAAAGATCAATGAAGTACAACGAATTAAATGTACAATGTTGAATTCTTTGGCAGCGAACCATGTCATGCTCGATTGGCATGCTTTTATGAGAAGGACAAAGTTGTTTGGTATCTTTGTTTTTCTGCTGTTTTATGGGGCATTTGGCAAGAGAGATATGAGAACTTTTAGAGGAGTTGAAGGGTCTGATCTCTAGTTGAATTTAAGGTCAACTTTTATTTTCATCTTAAAAAAATTAGTTGGAAGAAGAATCTTGTCGAGTAAGACAAATTTACACCCATAACAGGTGTAATCCATACTCACATGGAAGGGCTGTCAAGCATGGCAACCCATGCCATCCCCCACTGTGGCACAAAATCATCACCTAGAAACATATATCCACCACTTGCTGGATCACCGGTAAGACAGTGACCTACCACATTGTTTATGATCCCTTGACTCGCCAACTGGGAAGGTAAGCTAACTTTAGCCCTGCTTAGTCCTAGAATGCCATCAGTCTTCGACAAAGTGTTCAATAGCACGCCTTGCTGATCATATGCACACCTTGTAACCAAACAAACTAGAGAAATTTAGAAATGGACATTAGAACTAAAACTTGGATAGTCTATACTACAGAGGAACAAGGAGAACAAATTATACCCGAAAATCGCGTTCAACTTGGTCAATGATCCATTGGAGAACTTTAAGGTAAACTCATCTTTAACAAGAACCCCTAGAGAGGAGCTCTGGTCAGCATATTGAATCTCGTAGTCACACTGATGGCAGGTTGCACACTGATCGCCATTATAATTTCTTTGAACTTCCATGCACAAAGAGTCCTTGAAAGATACAACGTTCTCTCTTTTTGGCTTGTATAACGGACTTCTTCCCTACATTAACTATATCATTAGATTAATGTTTTGTCATCTTCCACAAAGTCTTGTAACCTACGATGGTTGGTTGCTCAATAAAATGTTGCAATAAATATTGATGGATGAGTGCCTCGTACTGATAAGAAAATAAAATGTTTGTGTTTATAACTTAGTTCGTATTATATTGCCCAATCTCTCTGAATATTCTATAAGATCAAACTTTGATTATCCTTCAAGTTGGTTCAGCTGGTGCTATTCGACCCACTAAAAATTTTCAGTATCCAATTGTGAATTTATTTGTCTTTTTCTTCCTTTTCCTTCATCTTCCCTTAACATTCTAGAATTCAATCAAACTACAACTCATAAAATAGTTCCATTGAAGACCATCAAACAACATTCCATTACTCATTTGAACAAAAAAGGTGAGATCCTACATCAGTTGGGGAGGAGAACGAAACATTCTTATAAGAGTGTGGAAACCTCTCCCTAGTGTGAAGGAATCCCCATACAAGAACCAGGTAAGATCTTGTGTGAAGAAAGAATGTTGTAAAAAAAGAAGTTATAATAGTGGCTTCATACAATGAAATATAGCAAATTAATATGTAAAACAAGAACGAAAATTCAATAACATTAGGAGATTACCTTGCCACAACTGGTGCAAGGAGCGTCACACTGAACCCATGTCAAGTCGCTCCCAGTATCAATGTCGAGGAAGTAAGGTCTCGGTGGCTCTCCAACCATGATGTAAGTATAATACAACCTATAGGTTGTCGAAAATCCATGTTAGTGCAAGTAATGGCATCTTCATGACAAACCCTGTATGCAGTCTACACAGAATGCTCAAATGCACAAGCTTAAACATTCTAATTTATAGTTAAAACCAGTAGAACCATCTCTGAATATGACTTGTGCTACATAATTTCTATGGCCATTCAAAGTGGCATATGTTGGATGATGAAAGTCCCACATCGGTTAATTTAGGGAATGGTCATGGGTTTATAATCTAAGAATACACTCTTCATTGGTATGAGGCCTTTTGGGGAAGCCCAAAGCAAAGTCATGAGAGTTTACGCTCAAAGTGGACAATATCATACCATTGTGGAGAGTCGTGTTCGTCTAACATGGTATCAGAGCCATGCCCTAAACTTAGCCGTGCCAATAGATTGGCAAATCCTTAAATGTCGAACAAAGGACTCCAAAAGGAGTCAAGCCTCCTCGAAGGTACGAAGGCAGTCAAAAATGACTAAGACTCCAAAGGAGTCGAGCCTCGATTAAGGGGAGGCGTGCTTTGTTCGAGGGGAGGTGTTGGATGATGAAAGTCCCACATCGGCTAATTTAGGGAATGATCATGGGTTTATAAGTGAGGAATACTAACTCCATTGGTATGAGGCCTTTTGGGGAAGCCCAAAGCAAAGCCATGAGAGCTTACGCTCAAAGTGGACAATATCATACCATTGTGGAGAGTCGTGTTCGTCTAACAGCATAAACCCACATAACCATTTTAAAGTCAATGAAAAAGTTGGAGCTGGTATGAGCAAAGAGAAATACATACCCATCTGGATAAATATCTCCACGAACAGGAAAAACGGCTGAAGAATCAGATTTTAAAGTGGAAGAAATCAATTTGGTAGGCTTCGGAACTCCAAGTTCATCATTGAAAGCTGCACTCAGAGCATCCTTATTTAGGCCTTTAGTCCTGCCCAACTTAAGCTGGAAATCACTGTTGTCACCCAACTCCGATTGGAAATAAAGGGGAAACAACAAGGAAGTACGGCGATCATCATCATTCTTCTCGGAACTACGAAGTTCCTGAAGGGTCTCCGGAAAACTGGAAGAATAAAGATAAATAGCAACGAGGGCAATGCTTAATAAGACGACGAGCTTTCTAGGAGTACCAGCAAAAAGCTCCCTCGACAAAGGAATACTTCGCTGATTAGAAGGGGTCTGAATCGGAAGATCCGGTGGGAGAGTCAAATGGTTGCTGTTGGGTTCTTGTTCTTCTTGACCAACGGCAACGGATTCGCGGGGAGGTTCCGAGAAGTCGTCGGTGAGTGTAAAAGCAGTGATGGATTTACCCACCGACGGATTGTCCGGTGGCGGAAGAGTGATTATGACGACCCCTTTAATCTTATCGGACTCCATCTTCAACCACCGAGGAGCTACAGGAGTTCCAAATGAGAGAAGCGATTGTGGAATCCGCTTGTTACATGGATAATCTCTCCATGTTTGAAGTCCTCAAAGTCAAATTGTGAACATAAATCAATGGATTGGGATTGGGGTTAGCAGAAAGTCCACGATGGGAAGGATCTCGGAAGCTTACATGTTGAACAAGGCCAGAGTCAGGATCAGGATCAGCGTGGGCCATCGTTACCGGGGTCTTCAGATGATCAACGCGGGGAATGCACGCACCAGTGAAAACCAAATTTCTTTATCCACTTTTTTGTGGATTCTTTAATGATTTATTAAAATCATTTTTTGTGTTAAAATTAAAATAATAACTTCAAAATACAATTTTTGACGTTTTCATAACTACAGATGATTTTGTTGAAAATTAAGATTTTTTTTATTTACTGATTTTAAAAAAATTATTTGGTTATTGAACTAAATGATTTCGTAATTTAAAGAACATTTATAACGAAAAAAACTACCAAAAACGATAAATTTTAGATCCAAATCCCGCGTGTTTAATATAATTAAATGTAGGCGATGAGAAAAAGAAAAAAAGAAAAAAAGAAAAAAACAATTTTCAATTTC